TAACCTTAACCTTTCCTTGCACTTGCACTTACACTTGCATATATTGCACTCTTCTTTGCCTTCCTTACAATACATATAGCCTTTTTGCCTATCTATTACCTAGTCTAATACCACCTGCTAGCATTGTGACTCTTTTATAAACTCCTCTATTGCTACCTTTTACACTAACTTATCCTTGCCTTTCTCTCTTTGCTTTACCTAACTGCCTATCCTTTCTCTTTGCTGCTTTTAACTACTGCTGCTTTTGCAAACTATTACTACCTTGCTTGCTTTTCTATCTTGCCTTGCCTGCCTACTCTTTTGCGTATAATCTTGCAACTAACGCAGCACTTTTGCATATACTACTATCTGCATATCTGCAATGTCAATGCCTATCTTTAACATATTTGTTGTTACAATTACTTAACTATCTTTAACCTACTCTTTCAACTGCTATGTCTTGCCTTTTATTATATCTACCTTGCTGTAAAACACTAGACATGACAATAACTTTCCTAACTATTCTACTTGCTTAACCTTTCTGCTATATACAATCACTTTCCTACTTTTATACTTTTCTAACCTTTCCTATACAACCTAGCATACCTCTTTGTCTTCCTCCTTTACTATCGAAACTCTTTTTACCTAGTAACCTACGTTTTTTCTTGTTATTGCTAACCTAAACAAACAAACCTACTACCTGTCTATTCTTATCCTTGCAAAAAACTCCCTAACATTTGCTAGCGCTAATATTGCTATCAAAAACACTACTTGCACTTTCATTTCCCACAACACCTTACCTAACTTGCCTAACTGCAGCTAGAATATCCTATTACTATCTAACACTATATAACACTTGTCTACAAAAACCTAGTCTAACTACCCCTGCATTTGCAATTAGTTGACAAATAACTAGAAACCTTTTATTACTGCTAACTCTAGCATTACAAACATAATTAATGCTGCTTAGTTTGCCTCTTAGCTTTGCCAAACATGTAAATCAATCTTGCATAACTTGCATTGCTTATGCAAATCCTTTTGCAATGCTACTAATAGCATTATCACAATTGTTACTCCTTCTAGCAAACAAAATGCTAGCAATATAAACAACATGCTTTTACCTTTCCTTATCCTTGCCACCTGCACAATCAGACTCTTTTTTTAGATAATTGCCTAGATTACTCTCTCTTGCATGCTGCAAAACTATGCCTCTTTCTCTATCATAACCCTTAACTAACCTTTTATATCTACTTGCTATAACTGCATAAACTGCTAGAACTATGCCTCTTTTTACATACTGTCAAATATGTCTAGCTTTTGTTTTTCCCCTAACCTTAACCTTGCAATCCTATTCTTTACGCCAAATCTAAAAAATCAATGCTATTTCTAGCTAATTGCCTAAAATTAATCCTGCTATGCAACTATCTTAAACACCCTCTGCTACAACTTTTATACATATATTATCCTTGCTATATGCATGCTATATCTAGCCTGCAAATCCCAAATGCTATCTAATATGCCTTTGTTGTCTTTATTAAACTTGCCATCTTTGCCTACATCTTCTTCAAATGCCTTATTTAAATACTAGTTTAAAATTGCAATTGCAATATGCCTTTACATACTTATGCTAACCTGCGCCTTTAAATACTACCTGCTATGCTATTGCATAATTTGCTGCATTTAGTCTAGTATCTACTTTTGCTTCTAGATTTACACCACCTATATAACCTTATCCTTTGCCTTTCTCTTGTCTCTAACCTTGCCTTTTTCTACTTTAACTTCTGCCTTCTCAATAGCTTTATCCTTGCGCTTTACAATCTTATCTGCCTACAAAAACGCACTTAGCTTGTCTGCCTCTTTAACCATCTTTTGCACTTGCTGCTAAAACAGCAATACTAACCACAAATACCATACTAACAACTTGCCTACCTTGCATAGCAAGTACTAGTGTATAACCTTAACCTTGCCTATGCTGCGGTAATTCTTGTAATATAACACTACAAAACTTGCTATGCCTTAGTCTATTAATATATTGCATACCCTGCTATACACTATATTGCAATGCTATATCTTTATAATCTCCTACAACTATGCTAGCATCTCTCTTAACATATGCATCAATTGCAATAACCTTTTCTAAAACCACTCTACTACTAACCTATACTTGCGCACTGCCTTAGCCTAGTATAGCATCTTATTACTGCCCTCTACTACCATCTACTCCTTCTACTTGTCTGCCTACTGCAAAATCTGCCACACTACCTAACCTTAACCCTTTGCCAACTACTTGTTGCAATTATCTTGCAAAAATGAATATCTAATCTAGTCCTTGCTATAGTTATCCTCCATCTACCCCTACTTAATCGCTAGCACTAACCTAAAATTATTGCCTTCTACTATTAACAGCTTGCCTAATTTAGCCCTCACCTTTTTAACTATCTTATGCAACATATTTACCAAATTGTTTGTCTTAATCTTTATCTGCTAGTATATAATCTAATCCCTAACCTAATCAACTGTCTCTGCTGCTAGCATTGTAAACTAGACCTACATCTTATACATGCGTAAATCAAATATCTAATCCATTAGGCTTAGCTTAGACTTGTCTAACATAACTGTCATAAACTACTTAACCTTTAGCTAGGTAATTTTAAACAACCTAGTTGCTACCTCTTACACCTTCTCTACACTTATTGTCTTCTCTAACGCTACCACCTTGTCTTGCTACTTAACTACTAACTAATACACAACTAACATCTACACTATCTTGATAACTACCAAATACTTTAGCATGTAATCCTTTAGCTTATACTAACTGTCATCATTGCGCAATCTTAACACTACCAACTTGCTAATTAATATATTCTTGTATAGCATATGCTTATATTGATAGTTAAAAAACGCAACTGTTATATCTAAATACAACTAGTCTGCCTAGTCCTTACACTTCTGCTGCTTTACCTTATCCAACAGCATTATGCTTTCTACCTACACATGCTTTTCCACTGCCTTGCAAAACTTGTCAAACAAATTACCTTGCTTTTTAGTAAATGCATATAGCAGCTAGTCTCTATTATCCTATTCCTATATCTGCTGTATATAACATAACAACTTGCAATACACTTCTTTGTAATCTGCTTACATATCCTTCTCTATCTGCCTATCAAATAGCTTTTTCTACTTAACATATACCTCCTTTTTGTTAATCTCAAACAACATTGCATGCCTATGCTACTTTACTACTACCTTTCTTGCCTACTTTATCACCTACTCTATGCTTTTCTATATCTACTGCAATACTACCTTGTCTTTGCCAATTAGCTTAACTATGCTGCGCAACTAGGCTAAGTCTAAACCCTTCAAATGCATTAGCTAACTAATGCAGTCTAACTACCTATTTAGCTTAGCCTTCTTGTTGCCTATCTTAATCAACTACCTTTTTGACTTAAACTGCGCTGTCTAAGTTGCATAGATTTGTATTAGTCGCTTCTTTAATGTCTCTGCACCTACCTTTGCTACTATTGCTAGCTTGCTGCCTTAGCTAACCTCAAACTACCTACTTGCTATATGCAACTGGAAAAACTACTGGCAATGCATGCCTATTGTCTACAGCATTGCCTGCTCCTGTTTTGCCTTCTTTACTACATTGCTGCTCCTAACCTATCTGCTTTTCTATCCATGCTTTTTCCTACAATAATCTCTCATTTACTATTTGCCTTGCATAACAAACCTGCACTTGTTGCATTGCAACCTGTTAGACTTAGGCAGCGCAATAAATAGGATTAGGTTAACTGTTAGTAGCAGGAATCAAAATGTCTGCAATTTATCTTAGTTTTGCACAATACCCTCTAATCTCTCCACTGCCTTTACAACTTCTACTTGCTGCCTTGCGTTTATATAATTATGCTTTCTGCGCAAATAGGTTCTAGCTTTACCTGCACAACATCTAACCTTGCATTTTGTGCAAATAACAAACAGGTATTTAGGCAAGCAGTTAAATAGCTCTATGATTTCTTGCTAACCTAACAATATCTCAATGCTTTAAACTATTCTACTCAACCTTAGGATTTTAACCCCTTTCTACTTTTTTGTTTACTCTTATTATATTACCCTTGCATCAAATAGCTGCTTTAACTAGTCGTTAGTCTTTAACCCTAGTCTGTCGCAATCTTGCTTTAACCTATCCTAACCCTAACGCTTACAATTCTAACATAGCTTTATCTCTTTGCACTTGCTGCTTGGGAAACTAAAAGTTCTATGGCTAGATTCTTCTCAATTTGCTAATTAAAAGCATACTACTTTTGTTTATTTTGGCCAAGAAAAAGTCTTCAGCAGCTACTCTTCTTTTCTCTACAGCAGCTACCTCCTGTCTTCAATTGTGGGTCTGCAATTTGTATGGCGTTTTCTTTAGATGGCTACTACATAGCTTAGCTGTATTTGAAGGTAGGCTTAATAGACTTATGCTTTGCTTGCAAATGACTAACAACCTTGCCTACCATGCATCTAATTTCACACTTGCATATTAGAAATAGGTATTTAGGCAAACAAACAAACAGCTTTATAGTGATTTAAATGCGTGTCTTGGCTAACTACTAAATAGTTATAACTATAGCCTTACACTACCATTTGCCTCTATTTACCCTAGACAACAAGCTAATGCATTGTTAGCTTCTATAACGCCACACTAGCTTAGGTGATGCTAACAAACAAAACCTACAGCTTTTCCTACCTACAAGCATTTTACTAACTTGAAAATGGCACTAAAGATTTCGCCTGCATTTAAGCTTTATGCACATACCAATTTTGTCAATTTTACCGCTGAAAATGTCTACAAGCTCTGCCTTCTGTTTCTCTACAAGCTCTGCCTCCTGTCTTCACTAGCGCCATTTCAAATTACATGACATTTTCTTCAAGCACAGCCTGTGCTCGTCGCCGTATTTGGGGGTAGGCTTGAAAAAGGATTAAATCAATGGATTTGAAGGATTTGACGGATTTTACGCATTTGAGTGTATTTGTAATTACTAGTACTGGCACTGGTTGAGTGTGCCTGAGGGGGGGTGTTGTCAGCCTCCACGTGACGATACATGTGAGCCTTGATAGGGTTCCAGGCGCATAGGCTTTCCTGAGTAGGGCAGTTAGGTAGTTTAGCTGTGGATTTCCACGTATGTAAAGATCCACCACGCATTACACTCAACACCCACGCATCACGAAGCGCCAAGTACAGAAAAGCCGCCAACTCATATAAAGAGAAATAGTCCCAAAACAGTCACCACAAGAACCAGGAGACTGCTTCCACCCTCACGCAGTCCAGCGGCGTTCGATTTACATGCCTCAGTCCCATTCTCCGCGACACACATGGCCGCTGACACGTTAGCAGCGATTGTCTGAGCTAGCGGCTTCAGCCCACATGGGTTCCCTTCTCCAGTCTCCTCCTTGCTAATCACATCCGCATGACATGTACTGGAGCTGTTCAGACGGTCCACCTCTATAAGGTTGAAGCTAGAGGAGCAGCTTTCGACAGCAGAGACAAGGTTAGGGGCTGCGGCACCAAAAGCAGCATTGAATGTCATGCTTATTGGGCTAGTTGCAAAGCTAGCCTGGGTGTCCATGGTGTTGCATGAGTTTTCCAAGCCAAGAGACCACACGATAACCCATTGAGCCTCGGTGCCGTTGGTGACGTTGGTGGCGTGGACAAAAAGCGAAGGGTCGGCAGTAGCGTTACCGCGGGTGCTGCCAGTAAAGTCCCCGCCAAAGTTGAAGGAATCCCATAAATCATCATTGCCATGGCCTGAATCATTGCGAGGGCTTGAAATAGGGCGGATATGTACAGAAAGCGATAGGCCAAGCGGCCAGGCTGTCCCAGCATTCTGGACGGCAAAGACAATGGGAAAGTAAGGGCTGGGTGCGTAGGTCTCGTTGGCGCGGGGGAAGACAAGGTCGATTTCGATGCTTTGGGGGTATGTTGCACACAGCGTTGTAGAAGCAAACAGCAGGATGGCAAGGAGAGTGGACATGGCTGCTGGTCTCTGCGTGTGTTCCCTGCAGGAGAGAGTGTGGAGTGAGTTGAGGTTGGTTGATCTCCAGGGAAGAAGTGCGAGAGGGTGTCGGGGGAAAAAGAGAAATCAGAAAAGGGCGGGAAGGGCAAGGGGTAGGGGACAAAGCTTTACAATGGTAGGTTTACAATGATTAAAATCGATCAGGCTAGGGAAAGACGAAGATGGCGGAGCGGCGCAGCTTGCGGCAATATGCGTCTCATAAGCAAGTAACGCGCTTTCTTATTGGCTGTGGATGAATACAAGCTCTGTTTCCTAGGTTTGTCATTTCCGGAACATTAACCGACCGGGTGTTGGTTGTCTGTTCTAACCTGTAGATTTGATGGCGCGGGGCTGTGTTGTAAACGGGGCCGCAGAATGAACCCTTATTTTTGCATGGATAATCATGATTAATTACCACACACATCATATTAATATCGTCAGTCCAGTGTGGCTGAGAATAAAGACTTCGTGCAGCAAAATCGCCCTGGCCGCAGGCAGCAAATGAATTAAGAGCGCGGGACGGTAATGACTGGTTGAGCTGACACAAATCAACCTCTCGGTGAGGAAGGACTGCAAGTTGTTGGTCAGAATACGGGCTTGCCTGATTGATGGAGAAGATTATCGCCAAGTATTTCGGGGGCCGTCGACGGCATCATGCGCTCTAACCCGGCGCGTGTTGGTTCGCAGTCCAAACTTTTGCTTGCCTGATTGATGGAGATGGATATCGACAAAGTATTCGGGGTCACCGACAGCATCATGCACTTTAACCCCGCCGGGTGTTGGTGCTCAGTCCAAGCTTGTGTTTGCCCTCCCCCAAAAAGACCCTGGCAGTGTGTCCTTCCTCGGTCTCGAGATAGGTAATCGATATTGCTTCAACCTGCCTGTCTAACCGACAGAAATGAAGACACACATTGCCATGGTCTAGGCCAAACTACAAAAAAGGACAGTCTTGTAACTATTATAACACTCAACGCATCTCAAGAAATGCAGAAAAATCATGGTCTCTGATAAAGCACCGTGGAAAACGCAGAACGTCACGTATCAATTGATATCATGCGCCCCAGGTCCCCCCTTCTTCCCCTTCTCGGGGTCATCACCAGCCCCCTCCTGAGTCATGTCAACGCCTTTCGTGGCTTCGATGGCTGTCCCCGCCCATGCTCTGTTTCCGGCTTCAACCCATCCAACTGGACCGTGTACTCGCACCTCAGCCGACTCGACGCGTGTGACAAGGCCGTGATGCTGGACTTTTCCATCTATGCACCCGTTGACGAGGCCCAGCGGGTCAGAAGCTGCGCAGTTTGGGGATCTGATTTTGAGAATGCTGCGGCCGCTGCCGAGACCAACAACGACCATGCGCAGATAAACACCACGACAGAGTCGGTCAACCTGGAACTGGCATGGTGGAATGGGGGTGACTCATCGTCGTCAGCGCGAAGGAGTGATGTCATCGATGTCATAGCTGCCATGGCCGAGGTGCAGAGCTACCTGACGCATGCACGTGAGTTGAACAACAACAGGACAATCCTCTTTGCCGCTTCGGGGAATGCCGCTGTGGGCATCTACGTTGGCGCGGCGGTCACCAACACGGGCGTCCCAAGCGCCGTCGTGCAACCCCTGATTGATCGGATCCGGACCAGCGGCATCTCCAAGGGGGGGGCTCTCGCGCAGGTCTGCGGCACCGACAGAACAAACCAGGACACGGTAGGCATAATCGCCACGGTGGATGGCGGATTTGCCTCGGTTCAAAGCGCTCTCAGGGCCTGGATATCGGGAGCCATGTGTGTTGACGGTGCGGATGGCAGCATGCAGATTCCAAACACGACAATCTCCACCGCAGCCGATCCGCTGGTTGCGCCGCTGCCCATTGTGTCCAACTCGACAACCCATTCCAATAAAACTTACGAGCCAGGGCAGCGACACCGGGGATCGAAGCTGCACAAGCGCGCCGACTGCCGCACATTGACGGTCGTCTCGGACGACAGCTGCTCCAAACTCGCCACCAAGTGCGGCATCACACTCGACCAATTCGAAACATACAACCCCGGCAAAGACTTCTGCCAATCTCTCCAGCCACAGCAGAGAGTCTGCTGCTCTTCAGGTCCCTTCCCGGTGCCAAAACAGGGAAGCGACGGCTCGTGCGCCTCGCACCTGACTATCGCTGGCGACACGTGTGGGGTGCTGGCTCTGTCTAATGGCATCACGGTAGCGGACATTGAGAAGTTCAACAAGGACACCTGGGGTGAGTATCACGAGCTAATTAACAGCACCAAACACTAATGTGTTCACCTCCCTGTCCCCCATGTCATTCTTCCTTCACCCCCCCTTTCTTGCTAATACATGCTGGCTGACATGATGCTAGGGTGGAACTCATGCGACCCCTCAAAGTTTTTGGCCGGCATGACCATGTGCCTCAGCTCCGGGTCGCCCCCGATGCCTGCTCCCATCGAAGGCGCCGACTGTGGCCCCCAGGTGCCCAATACTAAAAGGCCGGCTGCTGGCACGTCGTTGGCTGGTCTTAATCCATGCCCTCTCAACGTCTGCTGTGACATTGTAAGTGCTTTTTCTGCGATTCATCATCTATTCAGAATCAACTGACTGACCTCAACGAATTACCCGAAATCCAGTGGGGCCACTGCGGTACCACAGACGAGTTCTGCGATGCGAAACCCAACAAGTGCATATCCAACTGCGGCAAAGACATCATCAAGGGCTCAGCTCCCAGTTCTCGGATGTCGGTCACGTATTTTGAGGGCTTCAATCTGCAGCGAGACTGTCTTAACATGGACATCTCCCAGGTCGATACCAAGGCGTATACGCACATCCATTTCGCCTTCGCCGTCATTACCAGCGACTTCAAAGTCAGCCTAGGCAGCAATGAAGCACTGTATGAGTTCAACCAGTTTAGGAATGTTGGCGGGGTAAAGAAGATCTTGTCTTTCGGTGGCTGGGACTTTTCGACAAACCCCAGCACCTACATGATATTCCGACAGGGCACCAATGCCGCAAACCGCCAGCAGTTAGCTACGAACATGGCGAACTTTATCAAGGATAATGGCATGGACGGAATTGATATCGACTGGGAGTATCCATCGGTGAGTTCTCTCTCCCCTTTCCTCCCCGACTCCACACCTTTCCGGTCCACCCCCCGATGACTTACAACTCGCGTAGGCACCCGATATCCCCGGCATCCCGGCAGGGGACAAGGCCGAGGGCAACAACCTTTTGGAGTTCCTCAAGCTCTTGAAAACCCAGCTGCCCGGGAAGTCGGTTTCCATTGCGGCACCAGCGTCATACTGGTACCTCAAGGGAATCCCCATCATGGAGATCAGCAAGGTCGTCGACTACATCGTCTACATGACCTACGATCTCCACGGCCAGTGGGACTACGGCAATATGTGGTCCGACCCTGGGTGTCCCGGTGGCAATTGCTTGCGAAGCGACGTCAACATGACCGAGACACTCAACGCGCTGGTCATGATCACAAAAGCCGGAGTTCCTGCGAACAAGGTCGTGGTGGGCCTCACCAGCTATGGACGCAGCTTCAAGATGACAAGCCCAGGATGCACCGCCGAGTCGTGCACATACACCGGCAGCGTCTCCGGCGCGACTCCGGGACGTTGCACCCAGCAGGCTGGCTACATTGGCGACGCAGAGATTCAAGAGATCCTCAAGACTAACTCCAAAGCGAAAACCTTTTTCGACTCGAAGAGCCAGACCGACATCCTTGTCTACAACGACACCCAGTGGGCGAGCTATATGACGAAGGGAACCAAGGACACACGCATTCAGCTGTACAACACGTACAACTTTCTCGGCTCCAGCGACTGGGCCATCGACCTCGAGGACTTCCACGAGCCGCCCGGCACCAGCAATCCGGAACCAGGATCCTTCAGCTTGAAGCTGACGTGGGATATGTTCAAGGCCAACATCAAGAGCAGTGGCATCGCCACATGCAATGAATCATTCCGGACGGGAACTTGGGTATCCATACCATGCACGGTCCCTGAAACCACAAACAACCTCAGGTATTCGCCGCAAGAGCGCTGGAAGGCACTTGACTGCGACAGCGCCTGGAGCGACGCCCTGACTAGGTGGTTTGGCTGCGACGCCCCAGCCCAAAATGGCACATTCTCCCAATCAGTTGCCAACTTTCTGCATGTCCAGCCGCTTACCTCCTGCGATGATCTCTCCCTTTTCACCAACTGCGACATGACGGTGGGCTGCGAGGCTCACAACACCGAGTATGATGATATCACTGCGAAGACAGGCGCTTGTGCTTACGAGATATGGAACTCAATGGTCGTGGTACACGAGGTAAGATCCAATTATGACCCCTTACCCACACTTGACGATCTATGGGGCTGAGCAGAATCCATCCGAATAATTACAGATGGTTAAAAATTTTCAAGCAACCTCTGAACTTGCCCGGACGAGAGTCATGGAAAGGAAAGATGACTTCATCAAAGATTTTGCGAGTTCAGCAAGTGGCGATCTAGCTCCTTTGTTCAATATCCTTAACCCTGTCCTCGGCATGGTTGGCGGGTGGTTCTTCAAGGGATGTGAGTCCCCCACTCTCTCTCCCTCCCACTCTCTCTCCCTCCCACTCTCTCTCCCTCCCACTCTCTCTCCCTCCCACCCTCTCTATGGCAGCGCCTTGTTTCTTCACCATTTTCCTACTTGTTCTATTAGTTTCCCCAAGCATCTTCTGTTGAGTGCTGCTGAGTGCTGCTTGATGCTGCTTAGTGCTAAGTGAGAATATCCTGGTAACCTATAATTTAGCCCTCGCTGGAAAGCCAGCCTATAAAAACAGCTCCGACTTTTTAGAGTCAGCAACTATGAATGCCCTCTCCATTTTCCTGGGCTTTGTTCCAAGTCTCTTGTCAAAGTAAGTAGTCAAACTCTGCTACCCTTTGGTGAAGGATTAAGCTAAGTCAATATGCTCCTAGGCCAGAAGATCTTGGCAAAGTGGCTTGGGACGATTGCATAACCAGGACTTTCAATGCCTGGAACCTCGCAGCCCAACAATTCATTAGCATTGTCTTCAGTGGGAGTGCTGATGGTGTGAAGGACCTTACATCCATCATCGCCAACGGTGCTATGATTGACGGGAGTTCCGGCGGCACCAGCAATATCCCGACCAGAAACGTAACCGAGTCGTTCATTGCCGAAGGCTTCGCCGAGCGAGCCTTCTTTGGCGTCTCAATCCCCACCATCTGGAACGACACCGGATTGACCCCTGTGGTGCTGATGACTGACTACGACTGCGGCACTCAGAACCCGCTATCTCCCACCTACTTGGACGACTACGTGGGTCCGGAAACGTGGGTCTGCCTGCCGGACCAGAACAAGATGTACTATCTCGTGGGTGCCGAGGGCGACCAAGATAACTGCGAGCAGGTTACTAATGGCGGTCCAAATACATGCCATAACCATACGTTTAGAAAGCTTCACGGCACTGACAAACTAGACGGCAAGACCTGGGGTAATCTGACTAGAGACGACATTGTGGTTGGGTGAGTTTCTTTCTCTCCCTCTCTCCCTCTCTCCCATCTCTCCCTTCCCATATAGGTATATAAAATATGCGTGTCTGTGTAACATGTACATAACACTGACTGCTACCTCTCGCAGAGCCGTCAACACGTTCATAGCAAACAAAGGGAACAAAGCTGGCGGTTTAAACCTCCAGGACAAGGCCACTCTTAAGAGTGTTGTACAGAGCGACATCCGCGCGGCTGGCATGATCAACATCCCTGTCTGCACAGCGAAGGAGGCCTACACCAACTGGACGAAGGGGAAGAAAGAGTCTAAGGCAAAGTTTTATCCATGTAACTAAGCGCTGTCCTCTTGGTGTCCTCGCCTGTTTCTGTTTCTGTTCTTGTCTTTGTGTGCGCGCTAGGTGCCAAAAGCTTGGTGCCGGATTATTTGCCGGTTCGGCTGGAGAGATCGATCTACATTGCAGGGTACCGTATTCCAGTCGTGTGACTGTTAAGACTAGCCTATCCTCCTCCACTTCCGAAACTAGCCTCTTTTCCTCCACTTCCCGAACACTTAAGGTTGATTCCAAGCTGGAGCCGAGGTATCCTGTCGACGGCCGAAACTACATAATGGCTGACAACGATATTTTGTCTGATGGCAATGCGTAGACGAATGGACCCAAAAATATCAACAGGGAAATTCGTGATATTAATTTAGCATCTAATCACCGATGCCAGAGTTCTTTCAACGCCGCACCATGATCTCCATAGTCTCTATCCAGCTACTTACCCTCATCGCCTTTGGCTTGGCCGTGCTTCACATTGCGGTCTCCGGCTTCCGCTCGCCGCTGTCCAGCCTGCCAGGTCCATGGTACAGCAAGTTCACCCATCTCGTGCTGAAGTTCCACATAGTCGCAGGGAGACGCATCCACTACACCCACGACCTTCACCGCCGGTATGGCCCGATCGTCCGCGTCGCGCCGGACGAGGTGGCCGTCAGCGACGTCGAAGCATTTTCGCAAATCCATAAGATTGGGGCGGGATTCCTGAAGTCGCAATGGTACGATAGCACTACTCCGGGGCGCGAGCCCGGCATCTTCGCACAGCGCGACCCTCGCCTGCACGCGGCCAGGCGGAGACTCTTTGCTCAGGCGTTCAGCAACTCGTCGTTGCAGCGCAACTGGGAGCCCGAGATCCGTGCCAAGGTGCAGCTAGCTGTGGCCAGGATCAGGGCTGACGCCCTGGCTGGCGAGGCCGATGTGATGAAATGGTGGACTCTCATGGCCACGGACGTTATCGCACACTTGGCATTTGGAGAGTCTTTCCACATGCTCGAGATTGGCAAGGTAAATTCGAAATGCTTTCCTCAACGTGCGCAACGCATCTGCTTACGTGAATCGCACAGCAAACGCCGTACATTGACGCAGTCCAGTCGGCCCTGCTGAATAGCGTCCTGCGAAACGAGCTCTCGTTGTTGTACCACATCGGGCGGTGGCTCCCTTTCAAGGCCATTAGGAGCATCGTAACCGCCGACGACGTTGTGTACGAGTACGGGGCGTTGGCTATTCGGAACATGCGCAATCAAAACGGCAACACTCAGAACCTTTTTGGGCAGATGCTCGCCGCAGCCGACAGCCAGGAGAAAGCCACCATAACAGATACAAGCATACGTCTCGAAGCCGGAAACCTCATTGTGGCCGGTTCGGACACTACTGCGGTGACGTTGACCTATCTTGTATGGGCAGTCCTGAAGAATTCCGATCTCCAAGAGCGATTGGAAGAGGAGATGGCTACTCTTAGCCCGGCGTTAGGCCTGGACGAGTTGAAAGGTGCACCACTCCTAAACAGCGTCATCGAAGAAACTCTCCGTCTGTACGGAGCTGCACCGGGAGCTCTCCCACGGGTTGTGCCCCCGAGGGGCGTCAACTTCCACGGATGCCACATCCCTGGAGGAACGGTAGTCAGCACCCAAGCCTTCACTCTGCATAGAGATCCAAAAACATTTCCAAATCCAGAACAGTATGGTAGCCCTGATACAAGATAGCCACAAGCCACTAACGTTTGGAGTCATAGGTTCGATGGGTACCGTTTCCTAGACAAGTCAACCATGACACCGACGCAGAATACAGCATTTTCTCCCTTTGGAGCGGGCTCACGGATTTGCATTGGTCTTCACCTAGCGTTGATAGAGCTGCGGCTTGGAGCAGCGCTATTCTTTAGGGACTGCCGAGGCGCAAGACTCAGCCCTAGCATGACAGATGACATGATGGAGATGGACAACAGGTTCCTCATTGCACCAAAGGGACATTGCTGTAAAATCAGTTTATAGATAGAACTGCCTACTCGCTTCTAATATCCTAGCCTTTTGTGACGCTCTTTCCTAGTGTACCTCAGTAAGGGTCTGTCTTCATAGAGTAATTATGTCAAGTCCTATTAGCTGGCTCTCCGACAGACCCTACCTAGTCTCATTTGGCGTCGCCTATCCCCGCAACTTATTCCTAAATCCGCGCCCCTCTTGGTCGGTGAAACCCTCGCCATAACTTGGGGTTTTCATAAGTTCCGGCACGGTATACTGCGGTAAGTTCTCGGTCGAGGTACCGCCCCACCTGGTTAATGTCAACTAGCAGCACAATGTATTCCCCAAAGTTGCCCTGAGCAATGCCATTACTGTCCGTGGTCCTGAGCTGCTGCTGCTTTAAGTTAGTTCATGAATAAGCCTGGCTTGCGTTTGCGGCATAGCCACGGGCCTGGTGTCGTTGCCTCGGGACCGGGAGGCAGGCCCGGTCGCTTGGGGTAACAATCCACACCTGCGAGGAGGCAAACCCACGTCTCGGCACCGACCGGTTGACAGGTGAGGACTTATTCAAGCATTGGATGTTTGTTTCAAAGAAACCCAGAATGCATGGTGACGAATCTCCAAGCCTCATGGAGAGGTGGATGTATGCAGCGATATGGTGATGGGTAGGAAGTGACCACACAGAGCGCGTTAGTGCGGGCTGGCAATACTCTCAAGCGCCAGCATGGTGAGGAGGGATAGCACTGAATTATGACCAAGGAACGAGGCACGAGTCAGGTCACTATCTGATTAGTTGAACGCTTAGTGCGATCTAGTATCATGACCCTCATGATACTATCACCTCAATCCGAACGTCCAATAGTCTGTGGGTTCTCAAAAACACCTCTCTCATCCCAAATTCTCTTCAACTCAGCCAATCGGTCGTAGTTACCTGGCCAATACCTCCTACCAGCTACCTCGTGGTCTCCTATCGTGGGATCTGCATAATTGTAATACATACCCAGTTGCTTTCCCTCCTCCCTTTCCACGATGTCCACAAACTGGTTAACCCAAGGGATCCCGACATCGTTGGGGTAGGTGGCCGTGTTGTCCACCAAGTCGCTGAATTCCCAGAGGAATAGAGAAGACCGGTGGGAGTAGGAGGTGCTATTGGCGGGAAACATTGTGGACAGGGCGGAGTTGGGACCGCCAATGGCAGAGGTTATCCAGAGCCAGTTCTGTCCAGGAGTTATGTATCAGTGAGGAGTGGTTTTCCTTGAGGGTCATGTTGACATCAGAAAAGGTGAACATACCCGGTTTGGATTGGTCTGAGATGAATTTGTTAAGGCTTCCATGAGGGGATCTACTGTGGCATCGGACAGTTTATCTGTCACCAAGCTTTTGTAAAACTGCGAGGGTTGGTAGTTAGCCAACATGTATTACTGAGTGGAGGTGGGGAAAAGAAAGAGACGAATGGATCCAACACTTACTCCATTTAATTGCTACATATTGAGAAACAATCAGTCAGTTAACAATTGCCACGTTTTCGCCCAGAAAGGAACACAGCAAAACGCGCAACCAAGAAAGGACTTTCCACTTACCAGTTGGTCGTCGATACCTGATTCCAGCGGCTCAGGATCAGGCGACAGATTCAACAGAGCATTGTTATTCGCATAGAGGAGCGAATCCAGGTAACCGACAGAAGTAACTTCCGGCACGTTCAAAACATCCGCGTATCCTCCCAGGGCCATGACAGCATCCCTGAACGGTTTAATGGATGTCTCATAGTCCGCCTTGGAGCCGTGATAAGCCCCCTCAAACAGAAAGATGGAGGACCCTTCAGCCCCAAGCACCGCAGCAGAAGCAATCACCACTCTGATATTCATTTCCTTGGGTCTAGCTGTCGACGCGACGTAGTCTTGGAAAATGCGCCAGCCTGCCTTGGCATCCGACAGGGCCCAAATGAAGGGCATGTAGAAGAGTTGGATTTCGTCTGGCTGCGGAATAGTGCGGAACTTGAAGCGCGTGGCTATGACGAAGGACATGCCCGCACCTCGAAGGGCCCAGAAGAGTTCTGGGTTCTCGGTCTTGGAGGCGGTGACAACAGAGCTATTTGCCGTGACTCCCTGCACCTCCTCTAGGTAGTCGAGGAACAAGCCGTGGTTGTGGGTTGAGTAGCCCCAGCCGCCGTGGAGAACGTGGCCTCCCACTCCAACCCTGTTTATTCATTAGTCTTTGCTATTGGGGGGGTGAGGGGGGGAGGGGGGGGGGGAGGTGGGGGGGACGGGAGTGGGAGGTATTTACTTGGGACAGATGCCTTGAGGGATTGACCGTTTCCCTTGCGCATCCAATGCAATGGCCATATTGCCCAGCTTCGTCCCCGGCCCAATCGTCGCAATATTCGTGTCGGGATCAACAACCACCTCGTTCAGGAACCTCAGATCAATGACGAGATGGCCATCCTCACCACCAATGCCATGCGAGGCATAACTATGGCCCCCGGATCTGGCATTGACCTTCACACCATGCTTACGTCCACACGCGACGGCGGCTTGCACATGCGAGACTGTAGTTGGAAGAGCAATGGCGAGGGGCGTGAACTGCTGGCGGAGGTTGTGAACACTAGAGGATATTGCGAATTCTTGGGTTCCAGGGAGTGCTTGCGGGACGTCAGAGGCGGTGAGGCATTTGATGACTTTCTCCGATTGGCACCCTGGATGGCCAAGGCAGACATGTGCTCCGAGGACGAGAGAGAGCTTGAGAAGTTGGAGCATGTTACCCATTGTTTTGAAGACGGGCAATAGTGATGAGAACGAAGTCAGTTGCTAGGCGCCTTTTGCCAAGCAACTCTGAGGAGCCCTTGGTATTAATGTTTTAAATTCATAGTGTAGTTTAACCGTAATCTTGCACTTTCACCCTTAGCAAGCGGGGCGGCCCGAATCTCCGGGTCTGCAAGGGGCTGGCACGCCAATCGGAAGAGGCACTGTTTTGACAATTGCGGGGCAAAAGGAGAACGGACTCCAATTACTCCTCTAATTGTACCCACTTATAATCCGTATTGTTGATCGCTAATCTGTATATAGTCTAAGCGTAGTCGAAGGCTGCTGGAAGGATTCCTGGCCGGGGCTGGGGCAAATACTGGAAGGATTCCTACCCAGGTTAGGGCTAATACTAGAAGGATTGCCGGCGGGGCCGCAGGCCGGTGATTCCTAAAACCATCTCACATGACGCCTTCAAAGCACTGTCCACTCAGTCTAAACCAGTTTCAGCGACTTCCCTGGGGATGTCCTGGGTAGCGCCTGAGTTACCCCGTAATCCTTGCGCAATGGTCTCTCGGAGAAACTCCGCACCTCCTACAGTACAACCTTTGTAATTTCCCCTTTCGATTAGCATAACCCTACTATTGAAAATCTGGGTCGAGGAGGTCCGCTCTCAGGGGCCTCAATCCGGGGCGCATGTGTGGTGAATACTGAAGTGCCAACGACTAATCTACGCGCGGGTAGGCCGTGGAAAAGGGAAATCAATATTCTGACGGACACGCGACAAGCGAACCTACCCACCTGCCCCTCCAGGCATCTCGCTGACCAGGCCAGGAGGCCCGGGTCATAGAAATACCGATTCGCTCTCTCATTGTGTAGACATAATATCTGGGAAGAGGGCTGCCTTGCCGATGCACACGGAGCAAAAGGCACCCGCGTATGCTGATGGGCGACGGGGAGCTCAAAATAAGGCGATTGTGGCATCGTTGACACGAGATTGTGAAAGCACTCTAAGAGAGACTTTCCATTTGCCATATTACGCCGAGCGAGCAGTAATTAACTGGTGTAATGGTGAGTCGTCCTCCACGTATCCTGCTCTAGATGGACGAAGCAATGGTTAACCGAGCAAAGTCTTGGAGGCTGCACTGATTTGTCCGCAAAGTAAAGAATGGTCATTCATGCCCGGATACCAATTACTCTCAGGGGCACGTTATGGACTGATTTTTTTGCCAACTGCACTATGTCGCTCGCGTGTGGCCCACCCCGGCACCCCAGTGCAGCGTGAGTCTGGGAACCGGTGCTAGGTCCAACCGCTATCGCCGAACGGGGGCAAGTTTCGAAAATCCCCGGAGGTCCCGGATACGTTGTGCCGACGCCGATTGAAGACCTCGAAAAGACTATCCAACTGTACAGCAGCGCATCTCGTCTGGCGAACGGGTTTTGACAGTGTCGAGATATACAATGCTGGCGGATACCTCCCTATGTAATATTTCGAGTCTCACAATAAGAATCGATATGATATATGAGGCCGTTGGCTGCGACACAGAATGCCATCTTTGATCGCCTGCCCTGGTAAGATGAATGAGCATTTCCCCTGGAGCGGAATCGGTATCAAGATTACCCCCTGCGGCGGTTATAGGGAGATGGGCGCCGACGGATACCCAGGCGCCAATCTGCCTGGAAGCCTATGGTGCAATCTGCGCTGAGTTGGACAAGCTTTGTCAGACCTATGTTTAGGTTATGCGTTGGTGAGCATCGTACGACCCAATGATCGATCGGAAGCCACGGGGTGTCGAGTGGGATCTGATTTGTTTCCTAAAGAAGAACAGAACACTTCGGTTATTTTTACGCCAATACATCGGAAAGAGGGTCATGGGTGCTGCAGTGATCAGTCGCCCGATGCTGTACACTCGCCTAAAAGTACAATCAGGTCAGGTAGAAAGTCTATGCGAAGAGCAGCCAGCATGTAATTACATATACAATGAGCAGGTGCCATCCATCATCATCTCTGACAACTTGGTGCCAAAACAGCCCATTATCTGAGACGAATCTAGACGGCCCGCATTTCCATTGTCGGCGGGATTCCTGAGCTGCCGCTGCTTTAACCTGAGCTGCACTGAGCTGGGCTGAGCTCGGTGAGCCTTGACGTGGGCACCTCGTCTAAAGTTGCCCCGACCAAAAAGGGGCCCGGTTTTGGGAACCTTACACACTTCCACATCAACTGCCCAAAGCCGCCATCCTGCGATAGGGTTGTTAGGATCATTCACTGTAAATGTACATGTGAAAAAAAAAGCCTTTTGAGTTTCTGGCCTCGATACTTCGATTAGAATGACGCTGACTATGCCATGTCCCACCTTACATATGTACTAGGAGACTCACTAGGAGACTCCACCTCATGATCGCATAGACAGTGCTATCCAAGGCGGGTGTGACGGTTCACGGTTCACCCACAGGACCCACACCGTACTAAGTCAAATCCCCAAGGAATACCAGGTCGCACTTGGTATCTGGATTGTGGGTTATCAACTGGCCGACCACCCCCGACAGGGCCAGGTGCTTTGACTGCGGGAAAGATTGGATGGCGTCGCAGTTCCCTGTCATCATCGCATCTAGTACCTGGTGGGGTCATATTGCCACGCCCTCTAAAATTGAATATCACCCCTGCTACACTAACCTTTGAGATGCTGGAGGAGGTGTGCAGTTGCAGTACCCCACAAAAAGACGTGCAAGATTACCCCGCATGCATATGCCGCTCGCTCGTCCCCAGAGTGGGGGTGCACAAAAATCCGGGGTAAGAAGTCAATTCATAATAAACTCAATGAAATTAGAGATTGACTGCAGTGGTTCTTACACGACATGTTTCCTTCCTCCCGTTCTCATCTCTCCTCGTCTCGTCGTAGCTTTACTTCTCGAATAATTTGAAACATGCCTCATACAGCTCTTTGGGTAAATCATGATGCGTCTCAGGAAGTGAAGGTCATCCCTGGTGACTACCACCCCCAGCAAGGCGAACTGCTGTTGAAATGCATTTGCGTTGGCGTCAATCCCGCCGATTGGAAGTACGTACTTCGCCCTATGTAATACCTGACTCTGCTGACTCAGGGTCAAGACATCCTGAGGTATGGAACGCTGTGGATACAGTTGAAGGTTGTGATGCCGTGGGCGAGATCGTCGAAATCGGCCCCCATGTCACAGGATTCGAGTTAGACCAGAAAGTCCTCACTTTTGCTAGAGCCATCGGTCCAAGTAAGTAAAGAATACGTGATCCAGAATTTTTCACTTTCTCACCCCCCGCGATCAGCTCGCTATGGCGCGGCACAGGAGTACTTTCTTGCCCAAGCCTCGACCACTTGGCTATTTGATGAAAACGCCTTGAGTGAGGAGCAGGCCGCTACTATACCGACAACGATGTGCACTGCATGCGATGGATTGTACAATAGGATGCAGCCACCCCTACCACTTCCGTGGGAAGAGCCGTGCAACTGGCCCCTTCTGATCTGGGGTGCCGGGAGCCAGGTCGGGATTCAAGCCGTGCAACTTGCGAAGGCAAGTGGATGCAGTCCGATCATTGCTACAGCTTCTCCCAAGGTACGTCCGGGACATCCTTCATAAGCAGAACGAGCGTCCGCTCACGATTGGATAGCACCAGGAATATCTGAAGTCGTTAGGCGCCGACTTCGTTTTCGACTACAGGGGCAAGGAAATCGTGAACGAGATTCGTGGTGCTGTACCACAAGGGGAAAAGCTCATGCATGCGCTAGATTGTGTTGGTGTCGACATCCAAATTCTCGAGTCACTGGTTGAACCTAGAGGAACTATCAGTCTAGCCCTTCCCCCCACAAGGGCGAGCCCTAATCACCACGTGGAGATGGCCGTGGCAGGGATCATACACGACCTTCAAGATTGGGAGTTCTCGCAGTTCAAGTTTGTTGATGGTGTCGAGCCGAGAGATAGCAAAGGGGCAGCCAGGCTTCGACAGCTCATGGATTGGACACTGAAAGAGATCGGCAACAAATACCAACCCCCAAAAGTGCGGAAGCTAAGCGGAAAGGGTCTGTACGATGCTTTGGAAGCTTTCCCACTCATGAAAGCCGGCAAGATATCTGGTGAGAAGGTTGTTTGGCGTATGGCAGAGACACCAGGTTTATAAAAGGTGAATTATAGCGCAACCAAAGAAGGAGACTTGACTTTCGTGAATCCAAGACTTTAACTTTCTACTAGAGCTTTACCATCTTTCTGGTTCCAGTCATCCACCACGCCATTTGCTTCGTGCTCTTTGTAAAGCATCAGAGTAGAACCATTTTTGCAGGATATGAGTACTTAAAACGAACTGAACTTAGTCCCCTGGAGGAGCAGTTGTACCGGGGTATTCTCTCATCCTGTCACCCCTTTTAAATCTCTGCATGGCCTGCAGAGGATCCATGTTCGACTTCTCAAATAGCGGATGCAGCTGGATATGGCTCTCGAGGCTCGAGCCCAGGATAAGGTTGGCAAACACAAAACTGTACGAATAGACGTCTGTCTTCAGCAGCCCTGCCGCAGGGACCGGCTTGCCCCACTCCGGGGCGGAGTAGATCCACTGACAAGAGTGCGCGTCTCTCCCGTGTCGAATACCAAGTGGCCGAAGTTGGCCACCTTGAGCATGTGGTGGTGGGGAAGATCGAGGGATCATCCGTGCCTTGATTGGGGGACCATGGCCTGGATCCTAGGCATCGATTTCTTACCCCAGATGTCTAATGCTTCATTATCTTGTAAATTTACACGAGTTTGCAAAAAAAAAAAAAAAAAAAAAAAAAAAAAGTCAATTCTTGTGGACGCGACACGCTAACATGCTGCTCTCTTGACCCCCTGTTTATTAGTCGCTAAATCAACCTCGTGGTCACCTGATAAACAAAATGCGCAGTGTCACCTTAGCTTGCAAACGTGCTTGGAATTTGGGGGAACCCGATGTGGGCTGCGGGGTACTTAATTATCATGACAGAGGCAACATTTAAAGAATCCCTCACCCCAAGAATAACCAGGGAGTAACTTCCACTAATCTACAGCAATTCCTCGGCCACTATGAAGTCTCCCGAGTTTATCGACATGGCCCAACTCACGGCCTTTGTGAGCTCCCTTTCCCAGGGGGTGAACAGCAACGCTTTGCGTCTTGGTCTTGCAGCGGCTCTTGTGCTTTTCGGGCTCTATCTGTATCTGGTTCCAAATCAAATTACCGTGAGTCGTGCCCCAGACGTTACCTGAGACCAAGTGGCGTGGCTGAACGCTTTGGGACCTATAGGATTTCCGGAGGAGAAAGCTTCCGCCTGGCCCCCGCGGCTGGCCGTTCATCGGCAATCTCTATGATCTGGCCGACGGGGAACAGGTGCGTGAGAAAGTGCGGAAATGGCACCGTCAGTATGGCGACATCTTCTATACCAAGATCGGGGCGACAGACTACATCTGGCTTTCCTCCCCAAAGGCCGTGAAGGACTTGATGGACAAGAAGTCGGGGGTCTACTCGTCGCGCCCTCACCTTCCCCTCGCCCAAGATGTCGCCAGTGGAAAATCTCGCCAGCTGTTCATGGCATACGGTCCATCATGGAGGAATCTTCGCAAGCACAGTCACGCGCTCCTCAACCTCAACGCGTCGAAGAAGTACATGCCGGTGCAAAACTTTGAGTCAAAGGTTGCGCTCCAAGAGCTTTTGGACCAACCCGACCAGTTCTACACCATCAACCGCCGCTACTCGACCTCGGTCATCATGCTGGTTGCCTACGGGTATCGCATTCCGTCATTCAAGGATCCACTCATCACCAAGATTTTCAGCGTTATGGAGAACCTTTCCGTGATGATGGCACCTGGAGCATTCGCCGTGGAGACTTTTCCTGCGCTTGCAGCCCTGCCAGAGTTTTTGGTCGGGAACTGGTATTCCTGGGGGAAGAAGGCCTTCGCTCACGACAGCAAGATCTACCTCGAACTCTGGGAGACTCTCAAGAGGACCACCAAGGAGGGCACGGCTCGTGACTGCTTCTGTAAGGACTTTTACCTCGGCGACCCGGAGAAGAACGGCATCGACAATCTTCTGGCTGCGTACACGTGTGGTGGCCTGATCGAGGCTGGCTCGGAAACGACGGCCACGACCATCAACAACTGGATGCTTGCCATGACACTCTACCCAGAAGAGATGAAGAAAGCCCAGGAGGAAGTCGATCGCGTAGTCGGGGCCGACCGGTTGCCCGAATGGGATGACGAGAAGGATCTCCCGTTCATTCGTGCCATGATCAAGGAGACATTGAGGTGGCGACCGGTGAACAAGTATGGCATGTATCACTCATCCACCGAGGACGACTGGTATGAGGGCTACTTCATCCCAAAGGATTCAGTTGTGGTGCTGAACTGGTGGTATGTTCGCGAATACCCTCGCTAATCTTGAGGTGCTGCTTCTCACTCACATCACGCCAGGGCCATTCACCGCGACCCGAGTCGCTATCCTGAGCCAGATGAATTCAGGCCTTCTCGCTATCTCGGAAAGGATCTATCGGCCGCTGAGTACATCAACATCAATGACCCCTACGACAGAGATCATTTCTCTTACGGTGCAGGACGGTTTGTGTCCCCCTTGGATCCATGACATGCGCGCCCAGCCTAACTCAGATTCACTGACGCCTTTTGCAGTCGAGCTTGCCCGGGTGTCCACGTTGCCGAAAAGTCGCTCTTCATTGTCATCTCCCGTATCGTCTGGGGGTTCAGCATCCGCAAGAAGCGCGCCGCCGACGGAACTGCCATTGAGCCAAGTACAACAATGATGCCCGGGTTCCTCAGCGTCCCCGAGCCATTTGAGTGCGACATCACTTGCCGTTCTCCTGAGCGAGAGAAGCTAGTCCGAGCGGCATTTGCAGAGGCAGAAGCAGAGGGGTTGAACTACCGGGATTGATTGATGGTGTGTGGATTTCCTTGCTGCTCTGCGAAGCTTAGAGAGCAGGAGGAGGGGCATCAGGAGAGTCATGTGAGACAGTAACACAGGCTTAATTGCAAGGAATCAACAAGCAATGGTAAATAGTGTCACTAGCAAGCAGTCTCCCATGGTAGCAGGCTATATTCCTCTAATGTTTTGTCGTAAAGTTACGTCGAGAATTGCACACGGTACGCCTTGCATGTAAGCAGCTCCCTACCAGACCAAGACTGGCGTTGGCCCTCTCTCCTTTTCTTCTCTCTTTTTTTTTCCCGCAAGTTATTCAAAGCATCCAACGATCCCCTCTGTTCTGAGCCTCTAAGCCTCTCGTGGCTGACAGCCCCACCACTTAAGCAGGACATTCCACTGCTCAGCAGCAGTGAGCATACCCTAGCACTCCTAGCTCTCGCTTTAGCGGTTCATAAGATGGTGGCAGCCACCCACATGGAGATCGCCAACATACCCCACATGGAAATCCCAATGTACACGTGTAGCGGCCAGCACCCCACATCCAATCGAACAATTGACTAACTACCCCAAGGCGGGGTGATAACTACCCCACCCTCAAGCACGACCACCCAGATAATTGTCATCCCCCACTCACGTGCCCAAGTGTCACTAGATTACCTAGGTACCTACGACATTGGGGCTGCGATCAAAGCACAATCCAGTCATTTTGTGCGGCAAACCTATCGTTAGAAATGTAGGGCAAGGCAACTCGCTGTCTAGCTGCGGCCCCAGGCACACACTGGCTGTGTCTCGTCCATCCTGTCCTCGATGTTGCCGCCGTTGATGAGGAAGGACTTGCCATTTACCTCGGTTGCCCCTCATTCCCTTTAGCATGGAGGGGAGAGGGGCTAGGCCGGGATGTGGGGTTAGAATCTCGTTCCAGATTCTCGCCATGTACAATACCAAAGCACATATGGGGAACCAACTCGTCTCTGGATTCATATCTTGTGAGACAACCGCTGTCACATCTGCCCTGACTGGAACCAAACCAAGCCTGACTTCAAAGTACTTGGCCACACCAAAACCCATCTCGGTTTCAAGATGACGGACTCCAAATCGCTTCCTATCCCACCAGCCGACGAGATCCACAAAGAACATGCAACAGTTATCATTGTTGGCGCAGGTCCTGTGGGCCTATTCCTCGCTCTCAAGCTCGCCATCAAGGGAGTGGATGTCTTAGTGCTCGAGGCAGAGCCGACAGTCCTGCAAAGTCCTAGGGCAACAACGTAAGCTGCCGTGTAGTTGGTTATATTGCCAAATTCGCGCGTGCTGACTCACAGCTCCAGATATATGCCAATCGTGTTGAACGAAATGGAAAAGGTCGGCCTCGCCGACGATGTCATTAGACAAGGGCATAAGAACCAAGAAGGTGTTAGTTTCCGAGAGTCGCACGCCAAGGGCGGCAAGGTTTTGGGCGCTTTGAAGATGTCGCAAGTTCCAAAGGGACATGTCAAGTATGATTTTGTCGGGGTGCATATGGGACAACACGATCTGGCAGAACTCATTCTGAAGCACTGCGGGCGGCACCCTTCGTTCCGGATTCGATGGCAGCATCGCTTTGTTGGCGTCCAGCAAAGCTCTCCTGACAAGCCGGTGGACGTGGCTGCTGTTGGCCCCAAGGGTGAGAACTTCTTCACCTGCGACTACTTGGTGGGTGCAGATGGTGCTGGAAGTGCTGTCAGGCGCTCTCAATGCATCCCGTTCGAAGGTTTCACGTGGAACGATTTCAGGTTTGTCGCATCCAACGTCAAGTACGACTTCGAAAAGTACGGCTTCACCACTGCAAACATGATCGTCGACGAGGAAGATTGGGCCGTTATTGCCAGGACCGGCCCCGGCGATCAGCCCTGGCGAGTTGCATTTGGTGTCCGAACAGACGTGCCGGAGTCTGAAATCCTCAAGCAGTTGCCGTCAAAGTACGAGCGCCTACTTCCCGGCCCCCGACCGCTGCAGTACGAACTTGTCAGCGCCAACCCTTACTGGGCTCATCAACGATGTGCAAAGTCGTGGAAGGTTGGAAAGATTGTTCTCTGCGGCGATGCCGGACATGTGAGTATTCAGAAATCTACAACAAGACCTATGACAAGATTTGCTTACTCTAACTGATAGTCTAATAATCCTGTGGGCGGGTTGGGTCTCACCACAGGCTTCCTTGATGCCGCGGCTCTTGGTAACTGTTTGGTAAGGATCCTCGTGAATGGAGAAGAGGGCGACTCGCTGTTGCAGCGGTATGCCGAGGTCCGCCGCTCGGCCTGGTTGGACTACACCTGCAATGCCTCGATCGAATTCAAATTGCGCTTGCATTCGACGGATCCTGAGGTGGTGGCCAGTAGGGATGCTTGGTTCCATTCGCTCAACACGGACCCCGATGTTCACAAAAAGGCGGCGTCAATGATGAACAGTTCCATCGAGGACATGTTTGAAGTACCGGCCCCCTCAAGCGACGAAAGCTCCAAGTCCAGAGAAGCAACCTCGGAGAGTGTATCAGTAACTGCTTGAATAAAAGCTTGCAACTATCTACATGTAAATCATCTTCATTTTCTTTGGTCAAGTAAGAACCTTTGCTGCCAAGAACTCGAGTCTCGTTAGTGTGTTCTACATCATCCAAGCCCAATGAATGCTCTCTGCAAGCTCTGTTGCAGTTCAAGTTCCCGCGGGCGTTTAGCGCAGATGTTATACAGAGTACCCGCCATAGAGAGGCAGCTTTTTGATGCTTTAATTTGATTTGACCTGTGGCAGTACCTGCTAGCTCCAAGACTCACTACGTATATCTATCTACTCGAGGTAATGCGTTGTTGGAAAACCCATACCGCCAGCTAGCCTTTGGCGTCCCTCCTCAAATAATTTCGATTGCTTCGGCGACATCCATTCTGCGCTCGCCCTATGCAGCGGTAGTTCAAAGTCTACAATCTCCTTGGCAACATATAGGCATCGACCTAAAGAATCGTCAGCTCGGGTTAAACAGAGTAACATTCCGTACGTGACATTTACCATGAAGATTTTCATCGGCTGCAGCCACACACAGCGCCTCTGCGACCTCCAGAGTGGTATTTTTTGGTAGGTCGCCCCAAATCTCCGTAACTTCGGAGCTGAATTCAGTTTCTATGCCGCATGTTAACGTCTGTGTATCTTCCCACACTAGCTCTCCTGATGATGAGTCTCCTACCTGTCATCCATGGTGCAACAAGGTTCACCCGGACATTTTGGGGCTGTGACATGGCTGCAGTCGCCCGCATGATCCCGAGCAACTACACGCTGGTAGTCAGATAGTTATCCACTGACTTGAGACGAATGGAACTCACAGCATGTTTTGCCGCACCATATTGAATAATAGGCGGTGACGCGAAGTACCTGTTACCTGTCAGCAAGGGAGCTTCGATACAAGGCGGCCAAACTGACGATGCGGCTGATCCTGTCATGACCAAGACGCCCCCTGGCGTTTTATTCCTAGCAAAGTGGTAAAAGGCGAGCTTGGTGGCTGGGGCGTGTTAGACCTCGGACTGACTAAACAGGGTTCTCTCTCGACTTGCTTCTTAGAACGCCGTTTAGATTGACGTCGATGATACGGCAATCAGGCTCAGCCAGTTCTCCATTGGCGTCCATCTGATCCTGCAGAAGAAATGGCCCCTTTTCGGGCATCCCGGCGTTGGCGATAACCACATCGATCGTGCCGTATTTGCTGCGAGCTGTCTCGAACAGGCTTCTCAACGATTCCCATTGAGTCACATCTGTCTTTTGAAAGACACCGGCCCTGCGCAATATGTAAGACTCGATGTAAGCTGGTGATGGGATGATGCTGGAGGCACTTACCCGTCAATGGCTCGCACAAGAGCTTCTCCATTTTCAACATCCAGGTCGCCAATCACAACGTTTGCACCCAGTCCTGGCTACACGGTTAATAATAAAACAGTTCCGGGCCTTCCGAGTCAGCAAACATACGGTGAAGAAGCATCACAGTCGTCTTCCCGATGCCATTTGCGCCGCCTGCCACCTGTCAGCGATGCTATCCAACTTCTAGTGCAGCGGGTCCTCCTGGACTGACCTGTCACAATGACAGTCTTATCCCGCAACTTGGCTAGGACCTCTTGCTGTACATCAATCTTGGCCATTTTCCCGGAATGTTGCATGTGCTTCACCACCAGTGTCTATGAAATTCTGTCGTCACACTTGTATTTTATATATTGACTTGGGCACGTGGGGCAGTGACCGATAAGAAAATGTCTCGGTGCTAGGTGTCTCGTCGGGTACAATTTCAGAAGACCCCGCATCCTTTTCTTCTCCCTTGGGAACGGTGGTGTGGGGTAAGAAGCTGGGTGGGGGAGGGATAATAGCTTCCCCCTCTCGGGGGGGGGGGGGGGGTCCTGAAGTGGCGAGTTATGAGAACTTCACTCAATATTGAGTCGCTCATGAAATCGAGCGACGCGTCGGGCGTGCGTATCAATACTGTAGGTTGACGACTTAGCCTTGTCCATCCAACTTATTACAGGCTATATTTAATATCTTCGCTATTGGAGCGTAACATGGGAGGCTGTCTGAGTTCATCAGACATGTCCCCATACGCGCTCCAGTGCCTCCCAGCCTTACTCTGTGTATCAGCCTCGTCAGTGATACTTATAGGTAGGTCCGGGGCAGTGATTTGCTCGCGATGCACTGCAATTCAGCCCGCAGCGCTGGGACGGGCCGAGGAGTTTGACCAATCCCGCTACCTGGGTAGGGTCAAGATCGATACCAACAACATGGTACCAGCATGAGGAATCTGCGCCTGAGAGACTGCTGTCATTCTATACTAAAGAGGAACTTTTAGTCTATTTATGTAGCAGGCAGGATACGCACCAATTAATCAACCAGGAGCATGTTTGCAAAACGCAATCGTTGCGTGGAAATAAATGGGGCTGCTTTTCCTGGGCCAAGCCTCTTCCCGCCGATAGACACGCCAGTTAACCCCGATCAAAGGAAGTCCAGACCTACAGTGCCCTCTGGATACCCCGGCTTGCCACGGCCTCGAGTTGGGAGAATTGTCACACTGTGTGAATGCAAGGAACATCGCAACCAAGTAAACCCAAGCTAGTGGTTATATCTCACAGCGATTGGTCAATGGCCACCTGAACCTGGCCCTTAGCGGGGGTTGATTGATCTAGTCTGCTAGTGTATCCCGTGATCCAACTGGAGATCGGGTGATTCAAAGCTAGGTACCAACTATACAGTAGTTTTGTCATCTGTTTTTCTACTCCGTACAGTGCAGCAATAGCGGAACACACCCCAGTTAGCCTGCATCTAGACCCATACAGCATTTGCCGACCCCCGCCTTTGGCCCCGGGTTTTCCGTCCGGATGATTTTGGTAGTTGCACTCATCTTCCCCAACCGCCAGGAAGGAACACGCGAACACCCGGAACACCCGCAACACGCTCGCTTCCATCACCACGGGTCACCATCACCACGGCCGCACAACATAGCATCACACAGACACACGCCAACAACGAACAATCCCCTACCATACCGTCTTTTATCGGTAGCCGGGTGGAGCATATGGTGAGTCGCTATGGCGCTGATGCTCTCGTTGCTCCAGCCCCATCCAGCAGCAACCCCGATCTTGGCCCCATAAGCTCGCTCATCGCCCCCCTGGTTATGGCCAACACCATTATTGCACAACCGGCACCTGTGGGTGACCACGGTAACAGCCCCAGTCGCCGCATCCGCGGCCAGCGCCGCCAATACACGTGCGGCTACTGCGAGAAGGTGTTCAAGCGCAGCGAGCACCGCATCCGCCACGAGCGCACCCATACCAACGAGAAGCCGTTTTCTTGTCGCTACTGCAAGCGATCTTACTCGAGAAAGTATGTCTTTCCCATGCCCCACCTCCCGGGTCGGGTTCTCGGTTCTTTTTATTTTATTTTAATTTATTTTTTGGAGTGTTTTTTTCCCCCCTTTCCACCCCCACCCCTTCTCCCGGTGTCCCACGTGCACCGAGACTAACGTATGGCAGGGATCTCGTGACCAGGCATGAGCGCACTCTACATGCACAGGGCCAGGCTGAGCCTTCTGCCCTACCCGCCCTAGTTAATCCGGGCGAGGGCGACGGCTCGTCTGATGGGTCACTGAGCGAGGCGGGCGAGGGCGAGATTGCACGTCGCTCTGGAGATGCGGACGCTGCTGCTATCGCTGCCGACGACCCACCGTCATCCGAGTCTGAAGCTAGCCCAGCCTCGAGCGTGATTACATGTGGAGCAGCCGCCGGAGAACCACCCTCTCTGCCTGCCCCTGTGGTCAGTAGCGAGGACGGAATCGGCGACTCGTCGGCGATGGACGAGACCCGGCTTCAACCCCCTCCGCAGGAACCACCTCTGGCCCAGTCGACAGTGTCTACTGGTCCGCCTCCAAGTCTCGCCAATCTACCTGACCCGCCAAGCACTCATTCGGCATCACAACCAACTGACGTCTATCTGGCGCTTCAGGATGGCTTCAACATGTACGAGGCCTCGTCGCAGATGCATATGGATGTCGACGATGACCGGGAACAACGGATACACCATGACGGATACAGACAGGTGCCCGAGCCGCAGCATCACCCTCAGCTACAGCGTCGGCCGCATCAGGCTCATGACTTTCACCCATTCCCCCAGTACGATCGCGGGGCACCAGTGAATGCCATGAATCAGGACTTGGATCCTGAGTTTTTGCCCACATTCGAGCCTGACATGTCTTACTTCGCCTTCTCGCCCCTTCCTGCTGGATTATTTGAGGTTGGCCAGAACATCCCGATTCTAGACATTCCCGAATATCCGTCGCTTCACAACCCAACAGCCACCCGCTTCGACGCGGCGCTCTCGCCTGCACCAGCGCCGCCAGCGTACTCGCCGTCGCAACTTTCGCCGGTCAACGATCACGCGGGGTCCAGTGGGTCCGAGACTGTGGTTGCCCGCGAACCACCGAGTAACTTGCCTCTTTTAGTTAAGGACAAGCCCCCGCAGATCCCCAACTTCGTCGCCGATGATACCTTACACGCCTCTATTTGCAAGGATCTCGCTGAGCGCCTGGGACGGCCCGATGTCTCGCAGGAGATACCCTCATCCAAATTCTGCCAAGGGTTCCTCGCCAGCTTCTTGGAATGCTACTATCGACACCAACCGTTTATCCACTTACCAACCCTGTCCACGACCGACACGCCCAGCCCGCTGATTCTTGCCATGTGCTGCATCGGTGCCCTCTACCGCCTCGACCGCCGCCGGGCCCAGCGTTTGTACACCATCGCTACACAATCCATCGCAACGGTGAGCCCACCTCTTCCCTTCCTCTCCGATTGAGTTCTCCGATCGAGTCATACCCCGGTGCCTGCGGCTTCCACTGACTTGGTGTTTTTTCTTTCTTCTTCTTTTTGTAGGATGTGCAGCGGTACACCAAGTCCTCAGAAGAGTGGCCTCTCTGGGTTGCTCAGACCAAGCTGCTCTTGTCTGCCTACGGTGCTCTGAGCGGCAATAAAGACCTGGCGACATCAGTCATGGATGAAAACGGCTTCTACACACTGGTAATGAAACCATCTCCCCCCCCCCCCCCCAAAAAACCTGGTAGTCGCTCACCCCACTCACCCACACCGTCGTTAGGTTTACGGCAAGATGCGACTTGCCCTTGCAGCCGAAAATCCCGACCTGAATAAGATGACTTGGGACTCTTGGGTGCGCCGGGAATCCTGGAAACGACTCCTAGGAGGCATTTACGTTGCGAGCACGGTTCACGTGGTCATTTGGGATACCAACCCGGGCTTCAACACATCCCAGGATTTGGAGCTCGAAGTGTTACACGACGAAAGCCTTTGGAACGCAAAAACAGCCACTGAATGGCGCGAGCTGCGGGCTAATCTGCCCCAGCAGGACTATCGAACCTTGAAGGACGGGCTGGCGAGCATCATGTCTGAGGGCAAGCCCGACTCTCCGGGGATTAGCGCTTGCCGCCTCTCTTCCTTCACTGCTCTTCTTCTGATGCATGCCGTCATCGTCCACATGTGGCAGCTAGTCCAGGTGGCTCAAGCCCTGTCACCTACACCGCTGTCGCTGGGGCGCGACCCGGTCAGTTCGCTGCTCATGAGCACGGCAGTCAGGTCCTTGGCGCGATGCCATGAGCTTCTCGACAATGCCCAGAACGAGAATGCTGGAGACCCAGGCCATGAAGAAGGGACGTCGCAGATCTTCAACTGCCAGGCGACCCTGAGGATGGCCTACATTAGGCTTTTCAGCGTGGCAAACGGCTTCAACCGGCTCAGCCTCATCACGTTGGATCCGGCCGCCATTGAATCATTCGTGTCCACGTTTGCGATCACGAAGCTAGAGCGAGGGCCGCAGCTGCTCAACGCCGTCGTCAAAGCCTTCGAGGGACTGAAGATTCCTGTCAGAATGGGACACATGCTTGTGCGTAAGACGGCAGCACTCCGCTGGAGCCCGGCCCATGCCATATCGGGCTGGGATTGCGGTATGTACAGTACCTACCTACCTTTCCATGGAAACCCAAAACAGGGCGACAGAGGTGTTCTTCGTTTCAGGTGCTAAATGAGAGTTTTTGATAGCGCTGTTTGTCTGCAAATGGGTACATTCAGTCGAGATGGACCGCCTGAATGACATCGAACCAAGCATGGCCGAGTGCGAGCTACTTGCATCCATAACGGACGTGCTCGAGGAGGCCGACTATGATCCAGGAAAGAGCAGGTCTCTGGCCGCAGGGGTGGCCAGGACATGGAGCTGGCTGCTTCAGGATGTGAGTGCTGATCGGCTGCGTTGTCGGCGGGAGGGGGCAGAACTGGCCTGTTGCTAACCGACCTCGCGCGTAGGTGTGGGTGTGGAGCATTACTCCGCGTATGGGTGCTGTCCTCGAGCAGATAGCCACTGCCTTTGAGCGAGTCAACGATGCAAATCGGCGTCCTGGGGCGTAACATGCCCCCCCTCGGTTGCGCTTCATGCATTCAGAAATCTCAACTTTCCCTCTTGCAGCGGATTTCAAAGACCTTTTATGGAGTTTTGGAAACGCTTAACCCCCCGTTATTTGCCAAGACCTGCCCCAGGTCACAACCTTGATGTGGGTGGCCCTTTGCCCCCCCCCCCCCCCCCCCCCCCCCCCCCCCCCCCCCCCCCCCCCCCCGGGGGGGGGGGTCGCGCCGCGGGTGTAAAAAAAAGATTATAGGAAAAAACAA